TTGCATTTAGTGCATTGAATCGAATCTGCGCTTTGTATGCTTCGGGCATAAATCCTGTTCGCTAAACATGCGCTGTATATACCAAACAGGTGGGATATACGAGATATTAAGCTGAAGAAAAAATATAAGAGCTGAGCACTTGTATTTTGCTGTACTTGACTCTTTATTATTCCTTTACACTTACGTATCATCAAAATCATTAAGCCTTTTGCAATCTTTACAATAATCATTTTATGTGATTATGATATATTGATTACGCTATTAACTACATTGACAGATCGATTCAAATGACAGTAATTTTATTAACATTAATAGTAGAAAACTGAAATCATAACACAACATAACATGAAGGCATATAATAGAATGGTTGCGAGCACATTATCCCCACTCTTTCTATTTTTTCTAACTTCTGCGGTGTAAATCCTCGCACGGCATAAATGTCGGAGTTACTCTATTTTAAACGGACTGTTTAATTAAGTGCTCACGAGTAATCATCTTGCTTTTATTTTCTATTTACCTCTCAATCACTTATTCAATACTCTCTACTTCGTGATAACACAAGTTAGATAATTATTTCTTCTAGAAGCATTTAGATTAAAAATATTCATATGTGAAATTGAAGTAATATTTTGCAATTTAAAATTATATTTTAATTGTTGTGGTATGTGAATTGACTTTTCAAATACCGAATATTATTTTAAATTTTTGTTATTTTCAACTTCTAAGTGTATTAAAATGTATTATTTATTACAAACATGTAATTAAGAAAACAACTAATCTATTTTTGTAACCGAATTGCATAATTGCAAAATAAACAGTGTTCATATTAACGTATACACTTAAATAATAAACTAAATTATTAACTTATTATATTTCTTCATTAAATTGTTTAAACTTTATTGTTTTAGTCAAATTAATGATATATTGAATAGGAATTGTGATGGCCTATAGAAATGATTTTAAAAATAATTCAAACGGATATAATTTGACTTTATTGTATCTAACAATGTACTAGTGTGAACACTCATTGCTTTGTCACAATCCCGATAACTTTGAGCTTGTTTATTTTTCTACTGCCGTTCACGATAATACGATTAAATTATATTACGACCAGAGTTCTTTTCATGAAACAAACGTTTACCTAATTTTTATCTACCCATATAGGAATGTCCCTTATAATTTATGCCCATATAAGAAAATCGTTTTTTAAAGAAATTATAGAATTTCTGCAGGTATTAAATGATATTCGATATTTAATATTTTTAGTCTTGACTGAAATGAGCGACTTACATATATATATCGATCCGCGAAAAGTGTAACGAGTAGATATAATTGCCAGATTTCTCTTGAATATCACAGAATCTTTTTGAATCATCTCGTGGGAAAATCTATAAACGTTCATATGTATGTAAAATTTATTATTCCCTATTCGCGTGTATTTTACGTATCAAATAACTTAACTGATATAAAAGTATTTCGAATAAAAAAGACACGAATGTTAGATTCAGTGATACTGTGTGGAAACTACCGAAAATCATAACTATTTCCACTGTCCGATAAAGTGACAATCTAACAACATATACCAGATAAATATATGTTGCATACATTCGAAATCTGAAAGAGAAATTTACATCGTTTATTAGTACATATTTATATAAACTATGAAAATAATATTCAAATCATGGTTAAAAAAAACTGCTTTTTATTATTTCTTTAGTACGTTTTATCTTGTTTTATTATTTGTATGATATGTAGAGCCGTGTAAGTAAATTTATCGAGGGGGTAACCACTTAATGTAATCGTGGGACAGAATCCTCGAGAAATCATTATAAAATTTATATAAAATCTCTATGTATAATCCGATAATTATATATGCAACCACGAGAAATCATTGTATAATATTAAATAAAATCGTATATTTTACCAAATTACTTCATAGTAGTGAAAAAAATTATTTGTAATCAGATGAAATCATGTAATCTGTGGGACAATATTTCAGCTAGTGATTACCCCCTTGAAATTTATAATGCAAATTTTTTATGTGAAGTAAGAAGAATAAAAAGTAAAAAATAAAAAGAATAATCTTGTATTTTATCGTTCAATAAAAATTTTCGAGTCGTATATCATACGATGGTTAGATATCGTTCTCTTTAAAATTCTAATCTTGAGAGAAAAGTTCTTGCTGTTTGTAACTATAATTACACGTTACTATAATTATGATTATTACTCCCATAATGTGTTAGTAATAATAATTATATGTATAGTTCCAGCAGCAAATATATAGTTGGCACCGAAAATGACTATATATATTTATAATTTATATGGTTTGTCAAAAAATGATTTAAATTATAGTAATTGCAATTATTTTTATGGTAATAATAACTATAATTTGTGTGTGTGTGTGTGTGTGTGTGTCATTTCCGATGGCATGTACATACAATGCATATATATTTGTTGATAGAATTATATATATAATTATTAATACTAACATTATAAAGTAATAACTATAATTAATGTAAAATGTAATTATAGTCATAAATACCAGAAACTTCTTTCAGTGTAATCTAAGTAAGTAGGTCAAAAACATCAATGTATTCTTAGTTATTCGGTACATATGGTTTTAAAAGATTAGTGCAAACTAACAATGATATCAGTACTTGGTATCGTGATTAGTAATAATATGTAAATACATTCTAAGATCATTTGTCACGTGTTTTTATGGAGAGACGCATTGTGTGAAAAACCAGTCAAATTAGCATTATTCACATTTTTTACATTCAAAAAATATTTTTCTCTTAAAAGAAAAAATCAGAAAGATATATAATCAGAAAGAATCTATTAAATATTTTTTGCTCTTTTACAAGAAGACCTTTTAGTTAATTATACTATAATTTATTTAATACAATATCAGAAATCATATTATACGTAAAAAAACTTAAAAAAAGTCATATAATTATATCTAAAAAAGTGGTGATGACCTTTGTACTATATCTCCACAGAAAAGAAAACGTGATCAAAATACGTCTCTTTCAAAACCATTCCACTTTTATCTAAAAACATTTTTTCGTATCATCAAAAGTTGGTAAAATATTCAAAGTTTTCAAGTGAAGTGAATCACCCTGTGTATGTAAAGTAAAGGAAAATGAATGAAAGTTGTTTGATAAAAAAGAAGGAAGTTTTTAAAAAAGAAAAAACTTGAAAGTTAGAAACTAAAATACAGAAATAAAAATATTATAATGTAAAAATATTTTATTTAGATTGGAATTAATTTAATATTGCGAAGAATGTACTAATATTTTAAATAAAAATTTAGAACAACCTGTAAAAGGAATGTGAATATTTTCTCTTCTAGCAAGATAATGTTCTAACATATGAGTAAAAACAACTGATAATTAAATGTTATCAATGTTATAGCTTGAACGGAATAGAAAATCTCGAAAAATAGTAGCACCTAAACAAAGAAATCTCAGTTAGAATAAACGTCATGTGTTACACATATGTGTAACATATGACAAAACGTAAGTTTCCCTATCTTTTAAAAGGACATATGAAACTGTCCTCTTGCCGCGGTTGTTTCGAGTTTTGATTGCTTCCTCAGTTTTTTCATATACTTAAATGGAGTCCAAATATTGTGTGTGTGTGTGTGTGTGTGTATGCGTCATGAATTTTTTTTGTTTAAATTTAATTTTATGTTCAAGAATAATAGAAGAATAAGTAATAGAGAATGGCTCAAAAAATTTCAAATAGAAAAATAATTCAAGAACAGCTACGAGCCAAATAAATAAATTTTAATATAATATAATATTCTTGGTCTTAAATACAACAATAAAAATAAATCAACCTAGAAGACTGTACTTAAAAAAAAAGCGTTGGCTTTTATGCTTTTGTCATGTTTTATCAAAAAAAAAACTTTTTTTTTAAAATATTTTTATATGATATTTACTTAATAAATTCAAGGCTAATAGGAATCTGCGCCATGATTCGCGCGCTGTTAAAGTACTTAACATAAATATTTACGTTAAACAATAAAATTACTCATACATCGTCAAATAATGATAAAACGTTTGTTTCGGCTTACTTCTAGCTTCCTTCAACGTTTATAGATAAAAATTTCTGTGATCGTGATAGTAATACTCGAAACCGTGACGATCCTCCAACTCCCCCCGTCACTGTCGAGCGGAAGATAATGATTACTCATTACATTTTATATTCAACACTATTTCAAAAACAAGTGGTTAACGAAAAACCAATTATTTAGACGAGTAATTCCACAGAAAACATTGAAAAAAGAAAAATATGGTTCACGATTCCGTTCGACAGTGGCATGGGGGAGTTGGCGGATCGTCACGTTTTCGAATATTACGATCACGTTTCCATAGAAAGTTTTTTACAACACTGAAGAAGGCTAGAAGTTAACTGAAACGTACGTTTTATCATTATTTGACGATGTATGTAATTTTATTATTTGACCTAACACTTTTTATATTTCTAAATTATTATATATAATATTTAGCGTATGAATTACAGTGCAGATTCCTATTAGCATTGAATATATTGTATTTATTAATTGTGAATATAAGGAATCTTAATTGTTATTTTATTCTATGTGATATACTGTATTTCTCATATTATTTGATATGTGGTCGCGGAAAGGGGCGGCGACGGGAAATAGACTTGCTAGGTCACAACCTTTCTATGATAAAACGTATCCTTTGGGGGATAACGCTAAATTAAACGGGTGCATCTAGACAATGTCCGTTCTGGTCTAATTTTCCATAGACGCTAGGAAAATTTTGATAAGTTTCTCTCTCTCCGTCAATGCTTGGTGCGGGTAGAGATCTCTTTATCTCTTCTGCGTCGTGGTGGTAATGGTGGACCCTCGGGCCCGGGGAGCGGACATATGTACGAGTGGTCCAACATGCATAGGAAAGATTTATAAGCACGGGTGGGGAGCTGCGAGAGCATAAAAGCACGCACGAAGAAAAGCGCAGACGCTTTTTGTATTCGCCCGTGGCCGCCGATCGTGTCATCGCTGATTGTGCGAGAGTAGTGTTAAAGTAGTTTGCGGTTCTCGGGGAGAGAAAGCCATGGGGCTCGCGAGGGCGGCCGTCTTCGCCGGCTGTCTCCTTCTCTTCCTGGCGGTCGACGCCTTAGGCAGTAAGTAAAGCGGAAAATGCGCCTCGTCGTTCATCCCCTTTCTGCAAAGTACTCCGGTACTTTATGATTTACCCTCTAAAGAGCTGGACAGTCGTTGCTGTCTTCTCTCTCTCTCTCTCTCTCTCTCTCTCACGTTCTTTCTATTCTTCAATGATCACAGAAGCATAAAAGTTATAAGACCGAGGAAGTACCGATTCCTTTTCCTAAATAGAAAACTTTCTTCGGTTGAAAAATGGTAATACGTATTGAGAAAAAGAACCAAGTAAATGTATTGAGGGTAGATCTCGTGTGTAAGGCGATACATAAATATTCTTATAGATTCTACTGAAAAGAATGCACAGTTTTTAGTTTTAACTTCGTAACTTTCATACTTCCATCAATATAAAATAGTTAGGGAAATAGAATAGCTGAACACGTTCACAACGAGAAAAAGAAACTTTGTGCACGCAAATTACAAAGCAATATGTCTATAAGTAATATTCCTTACTTTCCACAGTTTCCAAGAACCGATTATAAATGTAATCATAAGTTAAGATTTAATTTAAATTGTTTATGAATTGAATAAAAGGAATTATCATAATATATAATTAATACGGTATATTTGTACAAGTGCATAATTATTTTAGTGATGAACAGTATATGAGATTTTATTCTCTCGGATTGTTCTTTCGAGCGATTCTATTTTATCATAATAATGCTGATTTACGATATTCTGTATTCACATCAGTATTTTAGTCGTATTGCAGTATAACGTTATGATTAAATTATTGATATTTCTAAGGGCGCTCGTAAAGTTGGCGTCTAGTTGCGCGTTCAACACTCGAATACAAAGATTTAAAGCACGTTCTCCCTTGTGGACCTTTCAAGAAGACCGGATGACTTCGATAAGTCTTAATTTTTCTATCAAATTAAAGATTAATGTGCGAGTGTTGATAGAAAGGGTCAACGCGCCCGGCGCGGTCAGGTTTGAATATCATAAGGTTACTCGCTGTGTCAAGGATAGAGATTATCGTCGCGAATGGATGTCGAAATCCGTGATATTTCTGTGAACTACAGAATTCCAAAAGATTGGTAATTTGTAGACACTTTATCCGCACCATTGTTTCATCAGTAATTAACGCGAAAAAATTCTAGATAACAATGTGCTTCTTTTATACATTCATTTGTTATAATTATGATTAATGAAAATTTATCTTTGACGTAGCCATCGTGGCGTATTTACTTGATATGACATTAGATTCATCTTAATCGCACCCTCGTAATAGCGAGGGAAGAATGTTGGTCTTCTGTGCAAAATTCTGTTTTTTTTATCATCTTCAGCGGCGGTAATTCATTCATTGACATGATTTTATTTGCATTATCGACACATAATTTTTCATTTTCTGCTAAATTACATTTTATTCCAGATTTTAATTAACAATCAAAGTCAACACCTCCGCGCGCGTGTTTCTTTTATATTTGTGAATGAAGTATGGAACTTTTTATCGGCGAACGTGTTTAATGCTTTCTTATTACTGGAAGAAGATTAAAGAAAATTGTTCTTTCGATTACATTAGCGGAATAAAGGAAGAGAATGCTGGAGGCTTCCATTAACAAACAAGAACGTTTTAGATTGAATTATGTTTCAAGCAAAATGTAACGACAGTAAAGTAATTTGCGAAAGATAGTTATAGATATACGGAAAATCAATTCTTTAATTTTCTACAAAATTGCAGCGAATAAGTAACGAATGGTATGAATGAAATACTTTTTAACGAGCGCTCTTTTTTAAATAAACGTAACGAAAGTGCAGGTATTAATTTGCAAATATATTCGTGTATAGAATATGAATAAAAATTAATGTACGATCCACCGGTTAGTTACAGATTATTATTATCCCATCCGGCAGGGAGCTGGCGATAAAATATTGCTTATTCTGTAATAGTCGATTTTATATTTTTACTTTCTCAAACTTCTCGATATGAAAAACTCCCCGTTATACCATTGATAACTTTATCATATCTTTATATTTCTTTCTTTAATTAGTGTTGTTCGAGCTAATCTTGAGTAGTCGCCTGCATTAGTGCATACTAATATACATATATACACTAATATGCTAATATATGTACACTAAACATCCACACGAGATACATAACGATCATTTATGACCTTTCTTTATGAAACCTCTCTCGAATGTGAGACTCTCCAGAAGCTAGGCATTTACTTTCGAACTTATGTTACCGCGTGTTGAATGTAAAATTATAATAAGACTCATAATATACATTTTTTTTAAATTAGTTATAATAAAGAAACGGCTCCAATGACTAAAAATCAAATAATACAATAAGGAGCTACAAGCTAATTACAATTAATATTTATATCAAGAGTCTACATATCTCAGTTTAAATTTACTAACCTTGATAATGATCTTGTGTTAAGTCGAAATGTCTGTTTATAAATTATATTTAATTGTGATTTTTTAATTGCAATTAGCTTCTTATTATATTACTTACGTTTTCTTTTGCTTTTTTTCACACGCAAGTAAATTATTGGTTAAAATAAAGCCTGCGGCACACGATGCTTTTTTTCTGCTAGATTGCTTTCATTAAAATAAATTACATAGAATGCACCACAGAACGCAGAATTTTTAAACATACATCGTGTGCCGCAGGGTAAGTTCGAAATGACAGGGCTCGGTAATCAATATCGCTTACGGCATGAATATACTATCACATTTCTAATGATGGAAGCAATTAACGAAGTTTGCGAAGGAGCGGAACTCGACCGTGATGAACGCGGAATTCTCTTGCACTCTAGAAGTATAAACGAAATAGTGGTTAAAGAGTTCGCGTATGGCGTATCGGTGCTCTCGGAACGAGGTCCGTATCATTGAAACGATTACAGGTCCCCCGTGTTCGACCGGACATTTGGTAAATTGATCTGACGTCCCTACATCCCAGTAAAATAGATCCGATCTGACCGTTGCGACGTAACAAACGTTCTTTCACCGCCGCGCTTTAAAGTACGTAAAGGGAGCATATAAACGATACGGGACATCGCCGGTTCTCTCCGCGACACTCTCATTCCAAGCAAAATGGCATCGAGCGAAATGCGATTGCGATCGTCGCTTTCTGCCGGCGCGATGATACGTTTTTCCAATTGGCTCGGCGCTACGCGGTCGCCGTATTTTTTCCGAAACGCCGGAAAATAGAAACAATGCCGCGAGAACTGGATTTTTTTCATATAAATATATTCCTACAACCGCAACATCTCCCCATTATATCGAGTCACTCAACGGCCATTGAAGGCGCATTAAATTCCGTGATAAATGATTACAATGGCGCGCCTGTATGCGAGAAATGGAAACGCGATTGTCGGGTTAAAAATACGAACAGAGAATGCGGGTTCATCGAGGAGAAGGATCGACGTTTAAACACGCTGTGAAATAATGCAAGAAAGATACAGCGCCCCTGAGTATGAAATATGAAAGTGGATACTCTCTGTCGTTCACCGTGAATTTGCATAATGCATACGTTTAAGTAATATAACGAGAACGGAGCACCTCTAATCATGCAGCGCACATTGGGGAGCAAGCAACGCGAGAAATTATAGTTGCAATTGTTAGATTACGGCAAAATCCCGGCGAGAGTCTCTCTCTAAGCACGCCGGTACGTTTCATGTTGTACCTAATATACATCTGTCGGCGTTTCATTATTCAGACGAAATAACATTTAAAGAGCGTAATTATAAATTGGATTCAGGAATTGTGTTCTGCGTATATTCGTGTATAATTTCGAGATGGCTTTTTCAAACAAAAATTTAAATTATAAAAAAATTTAAATAAATATTATTTCTTTAATTTCCAAAATATTTTTTCGGTCAATAAATCTAAATAAAAATTTTATTAAAATCTATCTAAATATACCGATAAAATAAGTTTATCTATCTATGTATCTACAGAATAATTTACAAAATGTTTAATCGATTCTATCTAAAAATAATCAGCCGTTTCTATAAATATCTTGTTTGTCGCTCGGAAAAACTTGATTTCAAATCAAAGAGTAAATAATATAGAAAAGCGGAAGATAAGAAGCAATGAAGAAAAATAAAAGTGCTAATACAATTTCAAAGGATTTTCTTCGTATCGGATTTCTTGTGGATAAAACGTGAAATTCCAACGATAATAAAGAGGAATTGTATAAAAATTCCTCGAACTTGTAGATTGTCATCAAACACGAAAATCCAACGAACTTGTAGACAGAAAATCCAACGAACTTGTAGATTGTCATCAAACACGGAGAGAATTTTTTCTTAGAATTTACCCTGAAAATATGACAATCGTGGGACAACATTGTATTTCGAGAATTTTAATATAAATCTCTCTCATTCATTAATAAAGCTACAATAAGGTATAAAATAAGTTTGATTAATTTTACTGAAGTGCATAATAAAAATATTTAAAATATTGTGTTGTACCATAACTACCATATTTTTGAGATAAATTTTAAAACAAAATTCTCCCCATGTAGTATTTGTGTTACTTTTTAACATATTCATCTTGTGTTAAATTAACTGTCAAAAATTTGAGTGGACCGTTTGGGATTATTTTACTGAAGTGCATGGTAAAAATCTTTAAAATATTGTATTGTACCACAATCACCATATTTTCAGGGTAAATTTTAAAAGAAAATTCTCTCCGTGAAATAACGACAATTAGCAAAAGGCGATTGTTCACAGCATTATTGTAGAGAAACAATGTGCATCTTCACCGAATAGATTCATTCTTCTTTTAGTCTATTTTCGCGCGCAACTCCTACTTTCCTCCACCACCACCACCTCCTCCTCCTCCTCTTTTCGCACGCGTCGTTCTTTATCCCTTTGTTATATCTTTGTCCCTATTGAAGGAACGCTTCCCCTTTCTCTCTTGTTACACCTCATCTATCTCTTTTTCTCTTCATTTATTCGGTCACTGTTTTATTTTACTATCTCTCTCTCTCTCTCTCTCTATCCTTTTTCTTACGTCATCATCGTCTAAATAAAGTGTAATCTGAATATTCTTATTTATTGTGTCTCTGGTCACATCATTCTTTTAGAAAAAATTAATTAATATATTTTTTCTCATTTATAAAAGAATTATTTTATGCTCTTTCTGCCTTAGCGGCAACAGAAGATTCTTAGTAGAGTTTCTTTATTAGGGTGACCAGATCCAACTTAAGTAAATTAGAGGACACATTCCTTATTAAAAAGTAGGACAAAAAAAGAGGACATTTTAGGTTAAATTGTAATATAAAGTGAGTAGTATATTTGAATTCTCTCAAAAAAATAGAAGAAAAAGAGTACACTTAAAAATCTTAAGAACATAAAAACATGTATTTAGTATCTGTTAGCAAAAAAAACGGCTTTAATGTAATATAATAATCCCTAATAATTTTTAAATTTTTTATCGCAGATATATAATAATAATCTAGTGATTAGCTTACTATGTATTTTATGTGCGATGGACTTAATAATTTCCGGTTCTCTTGCTCTCTCTCAAAATAAGTACCAAAAACAGTACTTCCCAGACATGTTGAAAATCCAGCCGGACGTCCTTGGACGCTTTAAAAAAGAGTACGGAAAAGTGTTCGGGAAAAACTGGACTTCTGGTCCCCTATTCTTTAAATGCAATGATATACGTTTTTAGGCGAATTGTGAAGATTAGATTTAACTGCTTCCGCTGCGAGATACTTTGATTGCTTCAACGGAAACCTCTAATTGTCATATAAGTAAATAAATACAATTACATAACTCGCTTTTTTATTTTCTACTATTTGTTCTGCTATTTTTGTAGAGGTGAACATTTTGATCGAATCACATAAATTAATTTTACTCAACTAGAGTTTTTGTCGAGCAAATAATTATATAACTCAGTATAAAGTGCGCTGAAAACTTTGTATGTACGCATGTTTTTCGCTACGATTAATCTTAATAAGATATTGGGTAATATTTATAGCTGTAATCTGTCTGGCTCGTAATCTATCGTTAATGAAAAATTTATACATATAAACGATCTTATTTCTAATCTTATTATTGAAAAATTTATATTTGTAAGTATATTTTTTTCTTAATTTACATATGTAGCAGTACGTTAGATATACTTCTAAAGAAAATCGAACAACTTCGACTCCGCGTTAATTCTAAGAAAAGTAGAACTCAAGAAAAAAGTAGAACTTTAAAATTTTGAAAATAATTGAAGTAACAAATATGATATAACAAATAAGACGAATAATTGCACAAACATATAGAAATAAATATAAATAAAATAAATTAATGTATTTCCTCTCTCTGCAAAAAGGTTATGTATATAAATAATATTTTTAAATGTTTTTAAATTTTGATATTTATTTATCCATTAAAAACCAAGGTTTTTATTTATTTATGATATAAATTGCGAAATAGATCTATATATATGATACGTCTAGTAAAATTGATATTAATGTTTTCGTGACAGATGCATGTTTGTGAACTTTAAACTTCCGCCATAGTTGCTTAATGATATCCGTTATTTCTTCACACGTTATTTACTCAATAGTTTGATTTTTAACTCGAAAATGTAAGTTGATTTCAACATTATATCAACTGCTAATAAAACGCACCATTTGACTCTTAATGGAATACAATCTACTTAGTCAAATAATACATATTATCAACATTCTGTAAAAAAATAAATTTTTGCGCGTACTTTATTTATATCATGTCTTGTTTGTGCTTCATGCGTAATTTTGTCGTCAATGTTGTTTTTCCGAATGTAAAAACGAGATAAAGTAAAAATTAGAGATAAAGACCAGTATGCAACACTAACAAATATCAATGTTAGTTACTTATTATTTTTCGTAATATCTAATGTAAAATTAATGTGTTTAATTATTATGTTACGTTATAATAAAATAAATGTCATCTAATATTCGAAAATTGTTTCATATTAAATACATACATATTTTTATTTAAAAGTTGAGCATAACATAACGATAAATGTAATAAATGACTCTTTTGTACAATTAAAAATTCGTCCAAATTGAAAAATTCATCGAACTAAAAAGAGCGTAACGTAAATGTCAAATTACTACAGATACTACAATTGATTGATACGTTACCTTTCATAATTCTCGTTTAAAAAGTCACTTCGGTTTGGTTCGAATCAATTTAAATGTTAAAGGGTGAAACTATTGTGGCACTCATTAAATGGACTGCAGGTCCGCGGGCACCGACACTCTCTATCGAACAAAAATGAGAGTTCCATGGTCCAGGGTCAAGAAAGTCACGATTAACAGCACGTTATCAACGTTCGACCCTAGCACCGAGTTCATTCGATACATAAATATATTTTTGTCGACGTAATCTGTACGTCAAGCATAATAGATTGTGGCCCGTCTTTTTTCCGCCTGAGTTCGAATTTCAACAAAAAATTGTTAAAATCCCAAAATTAAAGTAATATTAAGTTAATATTTAAAAAATGTTCTTTTGTTTTTGTATATGATTTTTATAATTCCTTTTGTTATATTTTTCTGCAAACACATTTCTGATTAGTGTAAAAAAAGAAAGAAATAATTAACGTTTTCCATCCCTTCTATCATACAGGTCGTGTTATTTTAAAATAAAATTAATATAAATGATACTTATATTTTTGTTAGATAATCATACTTTTAAAATTATTACTAAAAATTGACACATAATTTTCTTTTTGTTATAGATAAATGTACAGTCGGCTGCCATGGAAGTAAGTATATTATTAAAAGTCATGAAAAAAATCTATCATAATTATTTTAAAAAATCTTATTAAATAAATTTGATTTTTCTTCAGTGCATGGAGGTAAAGGCTATCAAGAAGGACACACATACATATACGATTTGGAAGGAACGTCTGTAACATCGGTCCCCGATGCTCAAGGTGACGCTACCTTGAAATTGAAAGGTACTGTTGAATTGTCAGTGAAACCTGATTGCATTCGACAGATCCGATTGAAGGGCGTACAAATTAATGGAGCCGTAAGTATTTTTTTATTTGCTCCTTACATCACATATTTTTAAAATATCTGTGCTACAGAAATCTAATACTGACCAATTTATTACTAAAAAAGAGTAATTAATTACTTACAGTATTAAAAGCATTGAACAACAAGTTTTTTATACTTAAAATATGTAATTAATTACGGTCTTTCAGTATTAAATTAGCCAGTATTAAGTTTCTTTAAGAATGAACATTAGAAAAAATAAATATACAAAAAAAGAATTACGATAGAAATTAAAATAATGTAGAAATATATGAGACCCGAAGGTGTAATTTCGACTTTTTTTAGAAATATAAAAGAGAACTTTTAATATAATTCCACTTAATAACTTCCCTTAACTAATAATTCCCTTAAAAACTTTTAATTAACTACTCTCAACGAAAATTAGTTTATGATAGTTTATATGATTCGTGTTCAATTATATAAAATTTACTATCATCTATAAATATTGAATTATTATATTCTAGTCTCATGATATAAACTTTCATATTCTTATTTTTTCCATATAAATTATAAGCATAACAGATAAAGTTTGTTTCACATATTGGGAAACGATAAAAGGAGTGTAAGGGTGTAAAAATATATGTATGTTACTTTATAGCCAATATCGCTGCCAGATGTTGAAAAACATGCGCTACAATTCAACTATCATGACGGCCATATCGATACAGAGGTTTGTACTGAAGCCGGTGACTCACAAGCGTCTCTCAACATCAAGAGAGCGGTCACTTCCTTATTCCAATCAGCCATCATACAAGAATCTGGCTCTACAACTCATCATGAGGTATATCTATATCTTGATATTTATTCATGAAACTCTAGTATAAAATTATGCCAATGTAACGCATTGTTTGCTATACTTAGATCGACGTGCTCGGCGGCTGTCCGACTGACTTCTCTTTCCACAAAGACGGCGACTCATTGGTCATCCATAAAGAAAGGGATCTGCTTCGTTGTTCTCATCGTGAGAGTATTAGAACTGGTCCTGTGTCCGCGATCTACGAATCTCAGAAATCTGACACTCAATCGGCTCCGTTGCTGTCATCGCATCAAAAGATTGAGCAACGTTTCAAGCGCGGTATCCTGAACAAAGCGACCTCGGTCGAAACATACAAGTTGAAACCCTGGAGCAACGGAGACATTGGCACTAAGACGATTGTGCAAACCACTCTGACACTTAAAGGTGAGAAGGGCGATAGCCCGAACGCCCCAGTTTCCGAGCCGAAATCCCTGATCTTCGAAGCGCCACATCCTGTCGTCAAATCGTCAGCGGACACCATCGCCGCGGCCTTGAAGGCAACAAGCGCCGAAGAGCACGACAGCGTGAAGCATGATGCGGCGGAAAAGTTTGCACAGTTCGTCAAAGTTCTTCGCCTTAGCAGCAAGAACGATATTTTCGCAATTTATCAGAAAGTGAAAAACGGTAACGGTTTCGACAAGGTCCTGGACAAGAAAATCTTTCTGGATGGTCTCTTTCGCACTGGAAGCGGCGAAGCCGCAGAGGTGGTCGTAGACTTATTAAAGAGTCACGAACTTACTGGCGTCCAAGCGCTCATGTTCTACGCGAGTCTCGCTCTCGTCGATCATGTGAACCTACCGTCAGTAACCGCCGTCACTTCTCTTCTTGATCAGCCAAACTTACCGCGTCTTGGTTATCTTGGAATCGGTCAGGTAATCGGTAGGTACTGCCAGGAGCACAATTGCGAGAACGTAGCTGAAGTTAAACAAGCCGTTCACAAGATTCGTGAGAAAGTTGGCAATGGAAAAGCAAAGACCAGAGAACAGGAAAATCTCATAGTTTCGGCTTTAAAGGCGCTGGGTAATACCCAATATCTCGATGATGCTACTCTACAGAAATTGGCTAGCATTGCTGAAGACAAGAACGTCCGCAATCGAGTCAGAGTTGCCGCGATCGAGAGTTTGCCCACCCGTTGCTCCATGAAGTGGAAAAATATTCTTCTGAAGGTCTTGGCCGATCGTGAGGAGGACAGTGAGATCAGAATCAAATCTTATCTATCTTTGGTCGTCTGCCCCTGCCAGCACGTCGCTAGCGGTCTCAAGGAGACTTTAGATAAGGAAACCGTCAATCAGGTCGGATCGTTCATCCAAAGTCATTTGCGTAATCTACGAGCATCTGCCGATTCGACTAAAGCCGAGGCGAAGAGGCATCTGGGTCAGATCAAACCGCGAACCAAATTCCCAGAGGACTTCCGCAAATTTTCCTTCAACACTGAACTATCATATGATTTAGGTGGTGTTGGATTTGGAGACACCTTGGAAAGCAATGTTATCTACAGCCAGAATAGCTTCGTGCCACGCTCTATCAATCTAAACTTGACCACCGAGATATTCGGAAGACCCTATAACTATTTTGAGCTCAATACGCGTATCGAAAATCTCGACAGATTGATCGAGCATTACTTCGGACCCAAGGGCCGTTTGACGGACAATGAAGTGGACGAATTAGTGGACAAGGGAGTAGACAATGCAGAGAGCATCGCTAAATACATCAAAGAAAAAGTCAACAAATTACGTAGCAAGCGTGAAGTTAAACAAGGAGAACTTGACAAATTCGCAAAGGGTGTGAAATTAAGGAATAACGAAGTAGATCAACAGCTTGACCTCGATCTGTCCGTCAAGCTGTTCGGTGTCGAACTGGCCTATCTAACTTACGACGGTAATCCCGCGCAATTAACGCCGGAACATATCATCGACAAGATATTCGACAACCTTGAGGATGGGATCAACAAGATAAAGAAATTCGATCACAATCTGCAGAGTCACATGCAGTTCTTCGATTTAGAGGTCATTTATCCGACAAATCTAGGTATAGCTCTCTCTCTCGACGTGATCGGTACCAGTGTGGTTCACATAAAAACATACGGTAAGATAGATATTCCGGCTATCGTAAAGAACCCGGATAACGCCGAGGTACACTTTGGCTTAGAGCCCAGTGCTTCCATTCGTGTTTCTGCTAGCATGGTCGTTAAAGGATTCGATGTAGAGTCGGGTATGAAATTCGTCAGTACGTTGCATACTGACACGGCGACCGATTTGACGGTGAAATTATTAAACGGCAAAGGTATCGATATAACGGTTGGCGTACCGAAGAAAAAGGAGGAAATAATTAGTGTTAGTAGCGAGATCCTATTGAGTTCTGGAGATACTTACAAAGCTGCAAAATTCGGCAAGGGTAAATTATATAAAGACTGCTTCGAACAGTTGTCCAATATTGTGGGAATAACGGTTTGCGGCCACGTAGAATTCCCTTACGATGGTATCGAGTCGACGCAAAAAAGAGCACTCTTCCCTCTGAATGGTCCTTCAAAATTCAGCCTTACTAACGAGAACATCGACCTATCCAGTGTTCACCTCAAAATCTATCATGACAAATCACCCAAGTCTAGATCATTTGAAATCCTGCTAGAAACGCCAAACAGTAAAACAAACAGACGCGTGTCTTTAACCGGTGAAGCTGCTCTCGAGCCTAATAAGCACGCTAAACTATCTTTTGATTCTCCCTTCAAGAAAGCCTCCGTTGAAGCAGTAATAAAGGAAGAACCTCAAGAGCGTTCACTCACAATTACCGTGCACAATGATAATCAGGAGTATTACGGCCGCGTCGGTCTCTTAGCCAATGGTGCAAAATACAAGCCCATCTTGGAGTACAAAGTACCAGAGCATATCGAGAGGTTAGCGAATACCAAGACCGGGCTGAAATCATCTCGCGGCGGTCAGCAATACGAGGTGCAAGGTACTGTAGAAGTGGTCGATCAGGACGGCGGTAAAAAATACGTATTCGACAAGGTAGCCCTCGTTGCGGGTGGTCAGAAGTTTGTCGGTCTCGACGGTTACGTTCAATCTGCAGAAAACGCCGCCGGTTTAGACATGAAGGTGAGCTACGGCGAAGAATCCGTCGCTCTCAAGTTGCAAGGGAAGAAAAAAGAAAATCGTTACTATTCGATCAGCGCTTCGGCATTGCCATCAAAAGATCCCAATATCGGATTCAACATCCAGTCCGAACTTGAAAAGGATGCGTACGAGTACAAATACAATCTGATCTTCATTCACGGTCCAGATCAGAACTCCAAGACAAATCGTTTCAGCCTCGAGCATCATGCTATCGCCAAACCAAACAAAGCCGGGCAGAACTTCGTCGTGGGTAGCTCTACTAAGATCTCGTATCCAGCTGCGAAGTTAAAATTGGAGCTCGCAGGCAAGGCCAAACCTAATTCTCTCGAGGGCGAGATCGAAATCGGTTATGAACAATTCAAGTTTGGCTCAAAGCTGTCCGCGGAACAAAATAAAGTCAAAACAGGCGACTACGAGATCGAATTCGAAGGCGAGCTCTTGCAGAACAGTATCAAATTGGAGTCCAAGCGTACGATTGTTGACGCACACAAGAGCAAATATGAGAACAAGCTCGAGCTTATACCGGGAGGTAAATACGAGGCCGATGCACTGGTTACATACAATCACGACAAGAATAACAAAAACTTAAACTTTGAGCTGGACAGCGACCTGAAGCTGGACGACAAAAAAGTTAAAGTTTTTGGCAGTTTGAATGTCGAGCGTCCCAATATCCAGTCGCAAGCGTACGTCACTGTCAGTGACGTCAAGTACGTCGATTTCCTACTGAAGCTGCAGCAGCAAGGCGCAAATCCTCAAGGCAGTTTGACCTTGAACGTGAAGAATTACCTGAACGTCGCGGGACAGATATCGATGCAGAACGGCAAAGGTAATGCGCAGCTCAACATTGATTTGCCAAAGATCAATCGGAAGATCAAGGGAACCGGCGACTTGACGGTGAGCGGCACGCAACACAATGGTGACTTTGAGCTTCTACTCGATGTGGAGAAGGATCCGAAAAAACGTATCAAACTATCCACCGCAAATGACATAAAGAAAAATGGTATAGATACAAAGAACGTAATCGAGATAATGAATCATAAATTTGAACTGAACGGCAAGGGTAAGTTAGATGGCACCATACACGAGGGCGAGCTGACCGTCGGAACGGACGTCACACTACCGGGCGGTCGTTACCTAGTTGCTAATTTCAAACGTACATCTAAGAAGAATGAAAACCAAAAATATACCATACACTTGGATGGTCAGTTAGAAGACCATGAATCTAAAGGCGGAAAATCGCGAAAACTCACGTACATTGATGACATTACTGACTTCGATTGGAAAACGTACACATTCCTAAAGAACATACAATTGAAGGCTGTCGATTTGAATGGCGACAATGGGCAATTAGATTTAGGCCTCAAGAAACTCGTCGATACCGATGGTCACAAGAAAGTCGAGGGGATCAACTTAAGCCTGTCAGGATCGCGTATGTCGCGACCGTTCAATCTGCAATACGAATCTACAGAGGACGATAATGGCAAACTGTCCTACAAAGGGTCTTCTTCCTGTGGCAAAGACTTCAAACTGAAGGTAAGCGCAATAACTTTTTTGATACTTCTCCTGTCATGGATACAGGTGTGGCAAGCGTCTATAAAACTAGGTGTGTAAATTTGCGTTATTGTTCGCAGAGTTCCGGAAACTACATTCCCGGTAATGACGTTGACAAGCCCTGCACGGTCAAAGGTAACGCGGAGTTGATATTGCCGTCGGAAAAATTACGTAACATCAAGCTCGACTATTCGTACGATCTATTGGTCCAACCTGAATCGGCCGGTATCGTTAGTCTGAAAGAATCGACGACGCTCACTTACAATGACGATAAATCTATCAAGCTCGATGGAGCCTTCAAGAGCTCAGGAATCTACGATGACGAACATCCTTATGAGAGCAACTTGGAATTCGATCTGACCATTCTCAAGATACCGCCTATCTCTCTCAAGGATCATTTTAAGTACGAACCCAACGATGACAAGGCAACCATTACCACCAACACAATCGTCAAGTATGACCAGAAGGAGATAACTCTCGCGCTCAACCCCGTCATATACAATCGAGATTTAACGTACATCGATGTAAAGGCCAAGGCCACCACCCCATACGAGAAGCTGCATAGTATCGACCTTGAACTCAAGCACGAGGTACCGTTTTTACAATGCTTTTAATTATTCTTCATATGTAGTAACTTCTTACCTAAGATTTAAACTGAGATTCTTTCCGTCTCACTGATTACAATCCGCTAACTGAATTATGTGCAAATCTCTCGGGATTATTCCGCTCAGATATTGCTCCCCTGTGTTTCTCCACATTGCGTCATTTATAATAGTTTACCGCTGGTAAAGTAAGCAGCGTGGTGTTTAAAGCAAAATAAAATTTACGGCACTCGCCAAGATTGCCGCAGGATGACACTGACTATCTATCACGCGTATCTAATTTTTTTTTTATTTATCTTTGAAGAGAGAAAAGGACGGACAAGTAAGAAAAACTGATGCAGCCTTGACTTTGGACAACACAAAGTACACGCTTAAGAGCGAAATTCAAAGCGGCAACATCTCTCCGATGATACACATAATTGGCACTTGTCCGGCGGGAAAAACAGAATTACTCTCGAAATTCAATAAAATTGGCGAACGTGAATATACAGGTAATTTTCATTGAATTCAAGCAAAACAATATTAAATTATCCGTTTTATACTTTTTCTATTGCAAAATATAATATATTTATTGTTGTATATTTTTATTTAGACAAGTAATATTCGCCTTACATTCTTCTAAATGTTACACGAGCTAAATAAATTTGTTTGCAGGTGAATGGAAGGTCGAGACGCCGAAAGGCTTTGCTGTTGCCGACGCACACGTCAATCTGAATGGCATCGACAATTTCATGATTAACGTTAATTTGGACAGCGACAAGCTCAAGCATCGTAAGATTCACGCCGAAATCGCTAACAAACCTACCGCCAAGACCGGCAGGCGAATAATCATCACCGTCACTAGCGACGGCAAAAACATTGTAACCGGAAGGTACGCTGCATTTCGTTACAGAAACGGCGAAACATGCCGATCAATTCATGCAATAATTCGAAACAATGATTCTACGTCGTATTTTAAAGTTTGTAATGGAATTAATAATAATCTGGATGAGAAAATAATTTATACACGGAAAGAACGATTTTGCTGAAATACCTGAAAAGAATATTGTTGGATCATCAAAATAATTATATAAGAAACTCAGCAATGCTGTAAAGTTTTTATATTCCAGTAATCATCTTGAATGTCCTCTGTAATTATTTTAACGATCCAACAACATTATTTCCAGATTTATATTTTCTTCAAATTTTATAGACGCTTCACAGCAAAATCGTTTTTTCTATTGTACGAGCGCGGGAAGACGAGATTGTATTCGAAACACAGGAAGACTACAATTCGCTTTCTTAACAGTCCTGACTCCTATTTAGCGATCCTGTCGCTTCTGCTAAGGTCGATATTCTTGCAGTAATTTTAAACGATGTTTTCTGACGGCGATATGGACACCTCTTTCACGTATGTAAAGATCGATCGCCTACGTGGTGACAAAACAAAGAATAGAAGATGTCTGCAAGTAATTAACGAAAGGCCGCGAGGTCGTTTTTAAAGGAGATCAGAGATACAACAGAAGTCGTATCTCCGTTCACCCCGCTATGTAATTTCATCGATTCACCGGCTAAAATTAATTCAAGTGGTTTCCGAGAATACATTCCAACTGCCGCAGTCCTTTTTATTCGCGTCCCATCGAAATCACCTCGATCGAATCGTAAAACGTAAAAAGGGGTTAAGCGGTTTAGCCGAAAATGTAGAGTATCGATCGTGTGGCGTTATAAAAAGTATTACAAACATTTATTTTCATCTAGTAAAAATATCTGTATATTATTCGAATAAAAGAATGATAAAAACGGGAATATCAATTTCGACGTCGGATATTTAGTCTTTTGAATATTCAAAAATACCTGCAGCTATTTATTCTATATTCTTTCCTCTAAATACAGTTTTACAAAGAAAGTTGAGGAGAAATTGAAATTTAAAATAAAACAACGTAAAGGGACAATGTAATGCGTGAAAGAGAGGAAAATGAATGTATTTAAAATACGCTTGTGATTTATTCGCAGCACAAACTACAAGAAACGCGACGAGGCCGGTAAAATCACCATCGAAGGAAACGGCAATCTTAAGATAGGCGAGGACACGAAGAGCTCCTCCTTCAAGTATACTCGCCAGCAATTGACTCGCGAGAAGGATGGTGAATCCGGCGTGTTAATCGTCCTGAACGCCAAGTTCGATCCGGTAGCTATCGTGGGCGAGCTGAAGCTCTCGAACAAGGAGGTCCTCGTTTTCAATAGCTACTGCGAGTTGAGCAAGGATTGCGCTCATTTCAAGCTTCAATCGAGCTACGATGCCGACAGTAAGTCACAAATTTCGTGTTAAGCTATTTCCCTTGAAAAGAAGATTGCAATCATCGTAAGAGAGGCAGTTATATATATATATATATATATATATATATATGGTCTCTAAAACGATGTTTATCAAATAAGATTGGATTTAGGTTGTTTGCAATCGAATATTTGAATCTTTATTTTTAAATTTGTTTTCACAGAATCACATTTTGCAATATCCCTCCTTTTTCTCAAGTTTTCTTTTCCGTTATGTATTTTTCGTTAACGGTTTGAAATTGAAAAACAGAAAGCCATTGAAAATTTATAGTCGATGAAATAAAACAACAATGTGTTGCTATTATAATAGTGCTATTATAATAATACTATTACAATAACGTTATTATAAGCGTATGTAATATATTAATAATTTACTATTAGCGTGTGCTCCCGTTTAATCTCGATGAAACGAAAATTACAGCGTGAGAGTTCAACAATATACCGTAATAAAAAAGGCTTTCATAAATAAAGAACGGTAGGTATTTCCACAGGCGCGCTCCTGTGGAAATACGTTACCTCGATGATAGGCTACCTTGCTTTGCGTGTCGGGCCGGCCCTTTATTAAGACATGCTTCGTCGCAACGGGCTTGAATTCGTAAAAATGCAAAAGAGAATACCTACACGGTGACCGTATATGATAATAATAAACCCTCGCGAATCGCACAAAAGATACCGAATTGTATTGTTCCCCCGCGGCGTCTCTCAGGAAATCATCTTTATCAAGGCTCCCATTCGTACATGCAGATCCACCCCCTTCTAAATAATTAGAGAAACCCCCGGTCCGACAGTGGACCATCCACCGACGACGCGTGGAAGCATCTTATCATCCTCGTCATCGTCTGTCGCGTGCATATTTCGCAGGAGTGCGCAACACGTCGCAATCCCTATGTATATACATACGCACGTGCACCCGTATATACGATGGAATTTCGCAGAAGAGGATACATGCTTGTTGTGTATTACTACCTCTTGTTCGCAGGGCCTAGAGCGGATCTCGGTCGATAGGCGTTCTATTCTCGCGTGATCTGCGCCTAATTCGTGCCTCGCCTCAGTTATTAATAGAGCTCTGGAATTGCATCTCTATGCGCGACGACGACGTTGCGGTTGGTGGTGGTGGTAGTGAAGGTGGTGGTGGAGGACGATTGCAAGCGACAGCGACGTGCCGCCGCATTAACTCGAGTGCACAATTCATGCTTTTTTTTTATTTTTCTTTCCTTTCTCTCTTTTTTTTTTCTGTCCCTCTCCCTTCCCCCCTTGATGAGATCGTGTCGCGAAGATCGCGATGCGAGAAGACAGGCGTGACCATTGCGGGTGATGGCGGGTGGTAGCGGAGTTATACACGGAGCGATACATAAGGAAAAAAAAAAGAAGTTGCTCGACGGTGCGGAATGACGTCACGCCGCAAGGGCGTGTGCTCCGCTGACGTACACGCGTCTTAATCCTTTCTAGCACTGCGATGACGTGTAGCGCGATAAAGTTTACTTCGTTTTATTTTTTTTCCCCACCCTTACCCCTCCCTCCCTCGGGATCAATTTGGTGGTTGTGGCCTATCGGGCCCCCCCCCCCTCGAAAGTTTACGGAAATAAAATTTCCGCGATTAACATCGACCGAAGCTACCTGCATGTAAATGGGGCAACATAACGAGTTTCTAATGAGAGATTAATACATTATGATCCTTTTACGATACAGTCCAATTATACTTTATAAAAAATACATGCTCAATGTTTGTTTATAATTTTATCACAATTGTTGCTTTTTATCTCTGATTGTGAAATGTCATGCGTTTACTCACTGGATTCTTCAATTTGTCTAATAATTTTAATTATCCAATCTTATTTGATAATAATTTTATAATTTGATATTTATTAAGAATTCTTATTAGTGTTACATAATTGTTGCAGCTTGATATGCTGTCAAGAAAGTAAAGTCGAAAGTAAAGTTAAAAACAAAGTTGCTGAAATATCACACGTTCAATCACTGGGTTCTTAACTAACTTGTCTAATGGTTTCGATTATTCAATTTTATTTGATAATAATTTTGTAATTTAGTATTTAATAAAAATTCTTATTAGTGTTAATTACAGCTTGGTAAATATAAAAAAAATAAAATTGAAGAAATGGATCAATGTATTTTAAAAGTATTGTACGATAAGAATCATCTCAAAATATATATGAGGGATTATTAAAGATATTCTTATCCATCACCTTTTAGTGTCGACTTTTCGCAGAACAATTCTCATAATTTATATTTTCGTTCGTTTCACAGATAAGAATAATGTAGATCATGAATTAACAGTGGAAGTAGACCTGAAGAAATTCAATGTGCCGGTTGAATTTGGATTAAAGACGAACACCGTAGTTAAAGATTCCAAGCTTGATCACTCTGCCAACTTGTACTTACACTCGTCGAAGGACAACTCCCAGTATTCCTACAAAGTCTACGTTCATCCTAAAGAAAGCGGTAGAAAAACTCTACTTCTCTATTAATAACCTTTATTAATTAATATAATAAATATCGCAATTGCGCGCACGTTTTAGCTTCAAAATTAATCGTTAAGATAAAAATTAAAACTTGCTTGTTATCCTTTTTTACAGCTGTCATTCTGACTTTACCCAGTCGCGAGTTGGCTGTCATTGGCACATTTGACTTGCCGAAGACGAAACAAACCGGAGCATTTAAGGTCGATGTTTCCGTTTACTTGGACAGAAAGAACAAGCCTTCCGACAAAACTGGTCTAACCGCCAACGGCGATATTAATATCGAGAAGAATAGTGGATCTATCAGCGGAGAGGTCAAATTCATATATCCATCTCAGCCAAAGGTACGTCAGCGGATATATTTCCACAAAGAGATTTTTTTAATCTATACATAGAAATTACATTGAATGACGTCCGAGATTTTTAAATCTGTATGTAGAAATTACATTGAATGACATCGATGTTAAACAAAAAATGAACTAAAAAAGCATTTCCAATTTGCTTCCAATTTCTACGCGAATAAGGTCAAAGCTTTCATATAATATAAAACTAGCGAGAGAGAAAGAGAGAGGGAGAGAGAACGCACCTCGGCAAAGCCTTTATTGTCGATTTTCTCGCAATCTAGCGAGAACGTTGAGTTTCATCGAGCCACTTGGTTATAAAAAAGGCAATATAATGCGTTCTCTGTCGATTTATGCCCGATTTATGTTCAGCTTGTTTTTCATTTTATTACGTTCTCATTATTTCGAGCCAATTGCCAGTTAGTTTGATATTTGATTTTTAAATCACTTCGAACGCGTATTTCTCTCAATCAGGATATAGCAGTGAAAGGTAAACTTCATTACGGCGGCGACCATCTGCTAGATGCAAACGTAGATATCGATATCTTCGCCAAGAAAACGCAAAAGATCAACGTGGTGGCGAAATTAAACCGACAGAATCTCGACAAGGGTCACAACATCACCAGCGTAATCGAAGTGAACAGCCGTGGGCAACAACTCAAAGTCGACTTGAAATCACACTTGGCGATCTCGGATTCTCAATTCGGTTTCGGCAGCATGTTATCGTACACAGATGTGCATCAGAAACCGAAGAGCCTGGGTGTTCTGTTCTCTGCGAGTTACAAGGAAGCACATCTACTTGTAACCTCGCCTAATAAGGAACTCCTAAAATTAGACACAAAATTACAATTTAAAAAAAATCTGCAGAAGTTTGACTCGGAAATCGTGATTGTGGGCAATAAACCTATTATAGTTAACTTCGAAGCGCATGATTTCAACAGTTTCACTTATTCGGAATACCAGCAAGGTAAAGTTTATTTTAAATTATGTATTTTATCTTTTTTTTTTTTTAGGAAAGGGGTATTTATATATTTTTTGCTTTAATATAACGTATCATTATATTATATCTAGATATTATATCGCTGTGAAATTGTTACTATATATTTGCTTTTAATCATATAATCATAAATCTATATGAATTGATCTTTCGGTGTTTTCAGATAATCCCAACACGAAACTTATCATCGAAGGACGTGTTGTACTTGGACAACTGGCCGAGATTCATGCTGACGCTTTCAAAGCTGGAGAGAAGAAGAATTTGTTCCATGGTTTGATCCACCTTGATGAAGAAAAGTTCCTGAAACCTGACTTCGGCTACAACAAAGACAATGTTGTCCACGTGCTCGTGAGTACATTTTTGTACAACAATTGTATGCCACATAATGCGATGTGATGGCTGTAGTATCGCTTCACTGATTGTATTAATAATGTAATTTAGGAATATTATCGAAGCCACAGTATCGGGCTATTGAAACAGTTCAAGGATGTCTCCAACGATATAGGCAACGAAGCAGAAAGAGAATTGAAAGATCTCGTGGAACATTTGAAAAAAGCTCAACCAAACTTCAAGTCACTCTCAGATTATTACGAGACTGAATTAAACAAGCTGAAGAACGAAGTCCAAGCTGATCAGACCATCAGAGACATACAGGCTACCTTGTAAGAACTTAATAATCTTTAATAATTATCGTCAATTATATATACTTTATAATCCTTTTCGATTTTACATAATATTCAACATTCATGCAATTTTCTATTTTGTGAAAGACAGTAATAAAACATTTGTAATATTCCTGTATATATAATCACTACACACTTATATTACGATATATATAATAATAATAACACCCATGTATATAAATATATCCTTTTAAGTTGAAATTTAAATCATTCGTAGGTCTCGTTGAATTATCGCGTGTATACTTATCGATCGTATTCTTTCAGCAATAAATACTTCGGAACTATTATCCAGGCCATAGGGGATAGCTTGAAACAAATAACCATACGATTAAACGAACTTGAAAGAGAGTATGCTGAAGTAGTATCCAAACTCGAAGAAGCGTGGAATACAGTTTATCCTCAACTAAAAGAATCTTATAACAAAATAGCTAATGCATACATCAATTTCGTCGATAGCGTCGCCAATGTTTCTATGGCTTATCTCAAGACGTTACTCACCGTGATTAATGAACATCAGAAAGAACTGAAGGAATTAGCAATCGTGGCTTCGGAGATCGCTCAGGATATTGCTAAGATCGTATTTAAGGCTGTCGCTCAAATTAAGAGCGACATCGAGGAATTTATCATCTTGTTGAAGAATCAAATGAAAGCGTTACCAATCTTCGATATCGCAAGAGAGCAATATCAAGATATCTTAAACCTTAAAATTCCGGAAACTGTATTGGCCTCCATCCATGAACTCAGCGAGGTCATAAAGTCCATGCTACCGACCGAGGAACTTCGACAGCTCTTCAGCACTACTTATGAATACATCATGAAGCACGTCAAACACGAGAAAGTAAGTTTCCTTACCCGTCTTACGTCACATTTTGCCATTTCAAGTAGTACCCTTCAAACGATCGGAAGTACCCTTTAAATGGTCCGAAATTACTAAAATAGCAAAGTTCTTGAAATAATAAAATGTAATCGTCTTGCGTAGGTTGATAATTCCAGTGAGATCAAGAAAATCTATAATCATATGCTCGATGCCATTGCATCTCTCGTCAAACTTCTGGAATCCAGCGGTAGCTTAGACAGTCTGATAGATGACTTATTTAATGCTCATCTTCCCGCGGAGTTTGAAATGTTATCGAAATTGCCAATGATCACATCATTCAAAGTGTCTCTCGTCAGTCTGATACGCAATAACGAACTACCATCTCTCATGGATCTCTACTACACCTACAGGTTCGTCTTTTCCACACATGTGTGTACACACACACACACACACACACCACACACACACACACACACATTACTTCTTTTCTAACTTTCTAGTTTCGTTTTATTACGTTTTATACTTTTCTGTAAAAATTTTACTTTTATTAAAATTGAAGATAAATGTTACAGTTTTCGTTACAATAAATGTAATATTAATCAATGTAATCAGTAATAATATTAATTAATGATTATCTAACAATAATCACTTTTTGTACTTTAAACAGGCCAACTCTGCTTTCTGACATCGTGCCTCCCTTCAGCAAAGTCGGCATCGTCACTGATGGAGGACATATCTTCACTTTCGACGGCAATCATCTCAGTATGCCTGGTGATTGCACTTACATCTTGGCCCAGGATATGCAGGACGGCAATTTCTCTATCGTCGCCAATTTTAACAAAGGAAATCTCGTTAGCGTGACCGTAACGGAGCCTAAAGAGAGCATCACGTTGAAGAACAATGGCAACGTAAGTTTATTTCTCTTATCTCTTAACCAATTTCCTATAGCGCTGGTAAGTTAGGTTGGTGTTGTATGTGACATGAATTGAGAACGGGGCAAATAGTTTGGAGAAAAGGAAACGAGAAAGAGAGAAAGGATGTGTGGGAGGGTGAAACCACTAGATCGCTCTCATACAGTATTCCGTGTACGAGTCTTATAATGCAATCCCGTATTGAACTGTAACTTTGTAAGTTTACTAGGGAGCTCCAAACTTTGCTGACAAGTCAAACTCTATTATCCTCGCGTCGCTTCTCTTATAGACGTACTGAGCGAGGAAGGAATAAAAATTGCTGTTGTTCATCTTTCGTCCAAACTCTGTTACTACGAGCGTGAAATCGCACCGACCTCGCGCCCATTTTCCGCAATTTTCTGCTCATTTTTGCGTTTTATTTTTTTTTGTTAAGAAACTCTTTTTTCGATGTTTTCGCGCACACAATTGCATTCGCGCGTTTTTTTTTTTACAGATCCTGGTGAATAACAAACCGGCCGATTTCCCAGCCAGCACGAAGAATCTGCACGCGTTCCTCGTCGTCTCGGCTCCGAACATCAAGTCCGACTACGGTGTGCACGTTCTGTGCAGTCCTAAACACTCTGCAATGCTTTGCATGGTTCACGTGTCCGGCTTTTATCACGGAAAATTACGCGGTCTTCTCGGTGATGGTAACAACGAGCATTACGACGACTATACGTTGCCGTCCGGAAAGGTGAGTGTAGTTTGTTTTATCGTTAAATAAATAGCTCCTCGTGCAGAAATATCAGAGGCAAAAGCTCAGTTATACCGTTGCACAATATTTCTTAAAAGGATTTCGTTAATGAAGATTTCATAAATTATTTTTTAATTATGATAGATTAAAGAAGCGACTTCTTTGCATACAGCAGAATAATATAAGTATAAAAAATATTCTTTCCTTCTTTAATTAATTCTATTATGAGAAAAGTCGGAACTGATAGCTTAAGTACGCTAGAAGCAAAATGAAAAATGTACACACGTTATAAATATTTAATATGATCTGCTTCCTGTTCTCGGAAGCTCGTCTCTCATTTTCTCGGCGTCGCGCTTCTATTCATAAGACCTTGTGGTAATATCGCTAGACTATAAATCATATTCTTTATATACTTTTGCTTTTCTTCCAAAGTTTTCGCTTCGATCAATAGACAAATATCTATGTGATACGGCATAATTCTTTTCCAAAGGGATCACGAATTCCCAAGGAGATCAGCATTCTTTCGTTGCGAGATAGATATCCTAAGTCCGTAATTTGTGTGCGAAACTGGAACAACCAACGTTTCTATATCTGTATTCTTAAGTGAAAAGATAAAGTACGTCATATTTCAGTATGCAAAATTTCATCTGTCTGTAAGAATAAAATTGAATGTTCTACTTTCGAAAGTAAAAATAAATACGACGAGTGTTTTGCAACGAAAGGATCTTACGTCGTAATACGGTAGAGATTTGCAGTGCTTGCAGTGATCTCTAAAAGCGCCCTTCTCGCAATTGAAACAGATTACCGAGAGCGAGACTGAATTTGCTAACGGATACAAACTGAAGCCCGATTGCCCGGCTGTGAACGCGATCGATCACAAGACGAAGCAACGTAATCCAGTCTGTACCGACTACTTCTCCGGCCAGAAGTCTACTTTGAAGTAAGTTTATTCGCCATTTAAAAAAATACGATTAAACCAAATTGTCAGATTACATAGAGAAAATATGATGTCGTAAACTCAGCTGTACGGAATGAAAAGTTCAAATGGGCACTGCTTCAGTTTGCAACTACCCAGTTCTTCAAATATTTGAGATTGAATAAATAACAGTTTATGAAAAGACGATAAGATTAAATGTGTTTATCGCATTAGAAAATAAGACAGTTCTTGAGATATAATCCGTGAAATCTTATCGCGAGAAACTTCCCGTGTATTACATATTTAAGACGATATTCCACGAATACTCGAAACAATATAATTATCATAATCATTTTATCGTTAACTTAGAGGCAATTTGGAAATAATGTTTCTCCGTCATGTTTTAGAAACTGCTTCAACTACGTTAATCCGACTCATTACCGAGACGCTTGTGACGCTGCGGCTAACGGAAATCCGCAAGCTCCTTGCTTGCTCGCCTCCGCTTATTACGCCAATTGTTATTATAAGCGTGTTTCCGGAATAAACATTCCATCCACTTGTAGTAAGTTAAATTGTTGACTTGTACTACTTTACAAAGTACAGAGTATGATGTTAATACAGTATTAATGCAAAGAAAATCAAAATTTCTTGTCGGAAATAAACTTTCTTAAGACGCTCGGGATATAGAAATATTAAACGTTTCTTATATTAGTTACATAAAACGTAGATTTACATAAAACATCTCGTTTTAAGATAAATACAAGATTTGAAAGTCAGACAGAGATATTGATTCTTAGAAGAACAAACATTTAATGTGTATCATAATATTTTAGTAAACTGCAAAGTTGGTGAGAACACAGTTGCCATTGGTGATACATTCAGCGTCAAAACTCCGAAAAATCAAGCTGACATTATCATAGTAATCGAACAAGTTGAGGACAATGAGAAAATTTTTAAAGATCTGATTCCAGCATTGATAACCGATCTAAGAGAGGAACTGAAACAACACGGCATAACGTATGTAAACATTATTCTTATAAAAATATCGAAATATCTTCCACAAATTCCACAGATCAGAAATCAACCGTAAAGATATCTAGAAAACGTTTGAAAGATCAAAATGCGCTTTAGGCTGTATGAATTCATACTGCGACGCAAACGCCATATTGTGATATTTCTTACCTTTCATTCATATTGATTAAATCTCAATAGGGACGTCCACGTTGGTTTAATTGGTTTCGGCGAACACATGAAGTGGCCGCAGCATTACACTTCTAACGGCAATACTAACATTGAAGGTGAAGTGAAGAATATGAAATTCGAGAAACCGGAACCGATTATTACTTTCGAGGTGATTTATAATTTTACAGAATTACATCAAATTATATATAACATAAAGAGATACGAAATTTTTTATCTCGTCGACAGTTTTTTGATATACGATATATAATACTTCAATGTTTACAGGAAGCCAAAAAGGGTAATTACGAGAAGCAGGCGAAATACTTAGAGCAAAGAATAAACTTGGAGTTAGGCGTATTAAAGTTGACTGATGCCTATGAGGAAGCTATTAACTATCCGTTCAGACCTGGCGCAGTAAAGGCCGTCATCGCAGTCTTTGCTACCCCATGTGAAAAGAGTCCGTTGCCATTATCGGTGAGCTTTTATTTTTCGTTATATCACTAATTAAAATCCATATCGAACATATTACAAGCGATATCATTCCATATCTTACAACTGTAACTACAATTTGCAATTTATTTTTTGTAAGTTTTGCGAATTATAATTCCGAACAAAAATGAGAGAAGCTAACTAAAGTTATGCGCTAGAAAGAAAACTAGAAATAATCTCACAGAAAATACTTGCAAGTATATTTTGTTATACACTACTAATAAATAAGAGATTCTAAATGCTTTCAATCTTTCAGTTACAACAATTGAGGCTTATACTCGGACTGAAGGTGTACCGAGATTTGGGACTGGGCTACTATCAAGTGTACTATACCAATGACATCCAGGTATCCGGCAAAGTGCAAAAGAATATTGTTGGTTTCGATAGTGACGGTGTATACGTATTCGCTGACAGTAAGAAGAAGCCATTGAGCGGAAACACCGATCTCAAATCCAACATGGTCCTCTCTTCAGTTGACGTGTGTGCCGACTTTGCTATCGCGGTAAGTATGCAAAGAAAACAAAAAGAATCGACTAAGCGTCTCGAAACAGATAGTTTTGAATTAATAAAGAAATTAATCACTCTAAATACATAAGGAATAATAAATAATGAAAAGAATAATCAGGTTGTTATTACATATAATATTGTTGCAGTCTGGTGGAACGGTATTCAGTTCCAATAACTTTATTGATGCTAAACCGAATCAAAAGAAGCAATTCGCTCAGGTCACCGCTAGAAAGATCGCTGAAGACCTCACGAATGTTGAAATCGAAAAGGATTGCGTGTGCAATCAGTACCACGTATTTGGACGTGCTCACTGTAAGATCGTGGGACGTAAGGAGAAGGAACAACTCGCAGTAAGTGTTCAAACGATAATTGCAGTAATAACCATGAGCTGCAGACGCTATAGCAGTTAATGCCAACATAATATATAATTTTAATCAAGGTAACATCGAGATTAGAAATGATATGATTTATTTTATGTTATTAAATTACAGAGACACACGAAAGGAGGAGTGAAGGGTTGAAGGAGCCACAGTACTACGCATACTATTATTACTAATTAATTTAGATGTAATCTATTTGTTACTTTGTTACAATATCGTAAAAGACCTTTTACTAGAATGATAAGTGATATAATTGCGTCATTCGGTCGGCATCGCCGATCTTTCACAGATCGAAAAGAATGTCGGATGCAAGACTTGAATTGTGCCTCATGACAATTTCCTTCGTTTTCTAGATCTAACATAAACATACAAATTAATGTGAATGCAATAAATTGGTGTACCATTTATCGATGTACAATTAGCGATGTTTTACAGAGAAAAATAAACATTGAACATATCGTTTGTGTGTAATAAAAACTTGTTAGTGCCCTCGTTAGCTCTTTGCATGTTTTACCAATATTTTTATATGTATTCTATTCACATCGAAAAAATAAGCATTGTAATTATTTTATATTTGGCGCGTACAGAATTTCAAGAAAAGCTTTTGACTACTTTGGAGACTTTACATCTTAACATCATTCTGAAGTGATTCCGACATCAAGCGTTAAAAAACTGATTTTAGATAAGATTTCAATTTCGAGATGTACCATTATTGTTCATTGTAATTCAAGCTTTAAAAATTATGTCAATTCTATTTTGTGTCTACAAATTTCTCAAACGCAAAAATTTAACTTCTTACTAAGAAAAAATTCTGGTTGAAAATGTACGAACCAGAAGATTCTGATCATATTAATCAGTACTCTATTTCAACTAGAATTATAATAGATTACCATAAAATTCTGATTCGTCTATTCTCAATTAGAATTCTAATTAATGCAACTCTTTTTCCAGTGCTTTGACATAATTTCAAATGTTTTCAATTTTCTGAAACTTACAAAAATATTGTATATTAGAAAAATAAGAATCTGTATGCAATAATTCGTAATAATTCCATCTTCCTTCATTTAAAATTGTAACGATGATAATATTGGCAATTATAAATTATATTTTATACAGTTTATATATAACTTTTATAACACAGATTATTTCTGATATCTTGAATTAAAGATGAATGACCCACATATTTGGAGGGAAAGAACCGAGTTAATGTTTTACTAAAAAAAAAAGTCAAATCGTCACGTAAAATTAAATATATTTCATATCTGACAAACCTGAATGCTTAAGCAGATCCTAATGATACTTAAACGCAATTTAATTACGTGAGAGAAAAAAGTACGTTGTTAAACTGTAATTATCAGAGCTATAATATATTATACATATATTTTTTATTAGAGCTAAATATAGTGTTCCACAATTTGTGACTTTGATAGATTCTCAGATCAATCTAGAAGTGATTTTTATTCGAAATATCAGAAGTTACCATTTATTACGATTTTCGAATTTTTAACGTTACATAGTTACATGTTTCGCATAAATAAATTTTGAAATAAAAACGTGACAACAGCAAATTAAAATAATTTTTTTAATTAACTAATAAGTAAATATAAATGAATATATTGTGCACCAGTTCATAAAAAAAAAGATGTTTCTCTAATGCACACTTAAAAACGTGTTCTCAAATGCACATTCAAAAATAAATTGAAATAGAAAAATGTTTTAAACATTTCTTTTCCTCATTTTTGCAAATTTCGATTATTTTTGTAAAGATAAAGATTATTTTACACATTATTAAAATATTTTACATAAATTTATGCATGTAAATTGATATCAATAGTACTTCGGAAAATTGTGTTTTAAAAAATTAATTTATTATACGCGTTGCGCTAATGCAGCATATATGCAACTTTTTCTATCCGCAAGATAACACTTTCCTGCTTTTCTATTTTTTCAAGATATCCAAAAATGTCATGGTCAAATCTCAAACATTTATCTCTTCGAGTTCAACATTCTTTGAGATTTCCCATATTCTTTACGAAAAGCGGAATAAAATACTTTCTTCATAATAAGCGGATATGTGATTTTCCCAAACCACGTCAACAAAGTGATATAACAAAAGGTCTTTTTAAAGGGGATCTCCCGATTAAATTATTTCAATAAAAATGCTCTTTAATCATTGACCTTTAACCTTTTGGAATTTATGAAGATAATGATAGAAAATATATCGAGAAGTATATCGATGTTTTTGAAAGACTTAAATGATTATAAAGTACATTAAGATCCATTTCCACCAGTGCAGATTAACTTTAATCTCGGTTCAACTTACTCTTTGTCTTTTTCTAGTTCTAAAGATTAGAAAAAGACGAAGAGTAAGTTAAACCGAGATTAAAGTTAATCTATATTGGTGGAAATAGGCATAAATATTATAAACTTTGTCTAAAATATATATATATATACACACAGTGTATATTATATATATATGTATATATATATATACACACATATATATCATAACTTCAACGATCTGTTCGAAAGACAGGCTTCGTTAGCTTCAAAGAGTTTCAATCTTTAAACGCGCGAGAAAATATTTGTAAAGAAATACGTGTTTGTTATTGTCAACTATATGCTCTATATGCTTTAAAACCAATCAAAATCGAAACGGAATATTTTCTTAAAAAAGCAAACATTTTATCTGTTTGCAAAGTTTGCAAACAATTCCTTCATCAATCATTCATAACTTGAAAACCATTGGTTCTCGATATTTTCACCAAGGAAGAAGTCAACTTCGAATCATTCGAAAACCTATCGTTAAAGTTAAACTCGCAAATTAAAGAACACGTAACTTCCCGTAAGTGGATGCAATCACGCGAAGCCTAAATCAAGCTAGACTTAAACATCCGTAACGAACGTTGTTAATAATTTCGAGGAAGTTAATGCAACTTATATAACAAGCTGCAATATCGGTTTTACTCGGAAGGGATAATATTATTTCACTTTATAATATTCATCACGGAGAATATATTTTAAGAAAATTTAAATTGAACGTAAAAAGATTAGAATCTTCTCCTGTTTATTTTCCAGCTGCTTATTATTCACAGTAAATTTGTTCGCTTATATTAAACACTGGATTTACGTGATAAGTTCCTCGCGACGAGTTATTTTTGCGCAACAGTGAAAATACGGGGCGACAAGAATTTTCACTTGAACGACACAAGTCATTGTCGACTTTACATGCTGAATTATGCGATGCAGCCCGTCGATCTGTTATATGCGCGTAAGCGCGGCATGACGTCAAGAGCGAATACGGTGAGGCTGGATTTTGCTGGGCGGTATTCCTCGCTGTGCTCCGAGTATGTACAACGCTTTTACATAAATTCGGTATGAGTAATGGCACGGGAAAGTTCTGACGTTCCCTAAGCATCCGTTCTGATGTATTTTGCGGTCCTCGGGTATTATTTTGCTAAAAACAGTGCGCCTGTTTATGTAACGCGTTTATTATGTGGTGTTGTAAAAACACGAGGTGGACGCGGGGATAAATCTCGTGATTTCGCCGACGATTACTTATGATGGATACTTACATAAACTTCCCCTCCCCCGATCATGAATTGCACTAGGAACGGAGAAATAACAGCGAGTCCTCTCTCTTTCCATTTTGAAATATTTATTAAACTTTATTTTTAAATATATCTTAGCGAGCCATCTATCGTGTGAGTCATAAAAAAGATAAACTGTCCGAAAATTTTATTTTGCAGCAAACATAATTAACACTTCAGCTTACAAAAATCAACAATTTCACTTTGGAAGAAATGAAGGGAATCGTGAATATCTGAATGGAAGAACCTAAAATATCGCTTTTCTTTCTTCCCTTTTTTGCGACGCACGAACTATATGAATGTCAAAATACTACTCTCGCGATATACCTCAGTCTATACAGTATTAATCTATCTACGTGATAACTATTCTTTTATTCTGGTCTTAAAAGTTGGTCTAGTTGCTTTATTTAAATTATAACTTCGTCAATCGATCGTGGATTCACGAATTGTTGTTCACTCTTGATATTATCTGACACTGTCGTGGATTCACGATCTAACATCGTTTCAAATACAGATTCAATTAATTTTACGATTCGCGAGATAGTAAACGCGAGTGATACGCTTTACAAAGCAGACGACCGGTATTTATAGCTTATTTGAATCGCGTACAGTTAACGTTATTTTACATAATCATATATCCTTCTAAGTCCAGATCTGCAAAGTGAAATTCTGAGCTACAATGACTGAACTCAATAACCTTTCTCGAATAATATCACAATTTATGCCAGCGGTGATAACAACGCCGAATTTCATTTTCTAGGACGAAATGTATCGTATTCTTCTAAGAAAATATAACGAAACGTATATAATACAATCGATAAAATTAATTGAACAATTAATTTATGGTTTGAATACATACGCAGGAAATAATAATTTCGAATACTTAACGTAAGGACGGTAAAGGAATTCTTGAATATACGGACCCCTATAATTGAGTATCTTAATACATAATTACATCCCATGTCGACACCGAAGAGCCATATTAAATAAGGAATAATTACTATCTGACGATATTAATCTGTACGCTTAAAGTGATTAATTCCCGCCTGATCGTTGTTGCTTCAACGAAAGTGAAAGTGACAAGTTTTCCACCGTTTACTACTTATATTACACGGAAGTATTGAAATAAAGTCTGACATTTTATGACTTTTGCGGAACGAAATACGCACGGTAACCCAGAAACAAACTTCATTGCAAATTCATCATTGACCAGACCGATGTGATCGATCGTATTTCTAAAGAAGAGTTAGTGACAATTTAATTAGATGTCATTCTCAATTATTATTATTTCAGTACTTTATCTTCCTAACTCGTAAGTTTCTGATTCTCGTAGATTCTGATAAATTGAATTTTCCTTGAGATTACGCAAGAAATAAAATTTCATTATATTTGCATGTCCTCTTAAACTCAGTTTGCCAAGAACTTTCATACAGTTTTAACTCGAAAATAATATTTCGAAATTAAAACGCCGTTTCTTTCACAACTTTGAATGACTATCGAAAGATGATACGCGACTTCTGGGTCACCCTGTATATAGTACGTACCCTGTTTGTGGATATATTACGAAGCCGCGGCGGAGCAAGGCCGGCGGAAGCGTACATTTAAATTCATGGAAAACTTTTTCTTAGAAAATTCTCATGCACCCGGGCACTTAGCGATAATTAATTAACCCATTAAATATCGTAAACGTCACGCACGCTTTTTACGACCCGAGGCGCCCCGGACGTCATCTCTAAGCGCGCGATATATGTTTTATCGATTGGATTTCTCTTGTGTACTTACAGCCTTACTATAGCCCGTCATACATCGAAACTGCCCTAGAAGAGAGAAAAAATTAAAAAGTTTAACATGGCAAAATGTCATCAAGCG